AAATCCCAGTGTCTTCTAGGATGCTGCCCCATGACTTGAGAATCACGTTGGCAGGTCCGATTTAGAGGCTTTTCCAAGGTAGCCTCAGGCAAGACGGTTTGCCCTCTGAAATATCTGTAAAACAAGGTTTGCAACACCGGCAGCTGTCATGAGGGCCTTGTTGAAATCGATGTTCGTGCATGGCTCCGAAAGTCCCGAGTGTTGCTGAGCATTAATGTGTAAGCGGTCTCCTTCCCAAGAGCAGTGATGTAATCAGCTTCCTTATAAACTGGGCTACATGGCCTAAGAGACACACCAATGAAGATTTATTTAAGTGGATTTGATCACTAGCTATGTCTGGGTCTCAAAAAGACCAAATAAGTGACGCCAGAGCAAAATTGCCCAGCTTAATGTTAGCAAAATGACACAAAGTTAGGCAGCTCAGAGCAGTCGGCCAGAACTCTGGTTAATTTCAAGCTCATCTGCTTCTCAGGGAGTATTGCAGAAATAAGGTGCTTCCAAATTAGAAGAAAAGAGTAATTTTTTTAGTCAGTCACATAGCTCAACCCAACTATAGAAAAGAGTCTCATCTGGCCAATTTTTGGGGTAGGAGCATTTATGCCTTATAGCTCTCATGCCAGCATGGTGGTGAATCCACTCTGAATTTTACTTTAAATATCCAAGGGGAAGATATCCAAACAGCTGTATTCTATCCCGCAAATGTGTTCAGTGCCTTAGACAACTTAGACAGAGAGAAATTAAGCACTGCATATGGGACCCCACAAGATTATTCATTGTATTTGCTGCAAAGGAGTAGTGCAGCTTCTGTTCCAGAAATTTCATTACAAATTTCTGTATGACAAGTGACGTGCACTCAGTAAAAATCCTTTTATAATTAGGATGCCATTCATTAGCTTGCTCCATTATTAATTTAAGCAGCAAATCTGCATGCAGTTATATGCCAGTCAGTAGCAACAACAATACAACTCTCATTTTAAAGAGCTGCGGAACAGCTGGCCTATAGTCTGGGGCTAGTGCTTTAATGCGTATGGGATCTTTTGTGTTCTCAATCCACCCAGTTCAGCTTCCACCACTCAGAAACCCGTCTTTCAATGTTTACACACCAATCAGAGTGGAGCAACAGTCACGACTTAATAGGATTCATTCATGCAATTGCAAGCCAGCTCTTTGCAACTGACAAATGCTGGAGTATTCAGACGCCTGTTGGGTCCAAAGAGACATCGCATCTGATCTTATCTAAACACTGCCTTTAAAGGAATAATAGGGTCAAAGATATGAAGCCGAAACCAAAGAAAAACATCCATTCATAGCATGATTAATATAATTAGGTAATATACCTCATGGCCAGAGCTTTGGAGAAAGTACCTTTTGAACTGTATCTTCCACAATCCCTCCCTTGCCTGGCTGGTTGCTATGGGATTCTGGGCATTGTAGTCCAAAACATAACTTTTCCATGTTCAGACTGACATGTACAATGGGAGGGGGGGTGTCACCAAGTCAGTTTCGCAGTATGAGTGGGGATTCACTCATGTCTCTCCAGTCTGAGTCAAAAACTCTAATCAATATAGCACATTGGTTCTTTTTTATATACAATTTTAATTAGATTTTAATATCACACCTAATACTTAAAATTACACAAAGCAATAAACAAACAGTAACCACAATAAACAATACCTATACAATCTATGGGAGCCAGCATGGTGTAGTGGTTTGAGTGTTGGACTACAACTCTGGAGACCATGGTTCGAATCCTGGTTTGGCCATGAAACCCACTGGATGACTTTAGGCAAGTCACACTCTCTCAGCCTCAGAGGATGGAAATGGCAGACCCCCTCTGAAGAAACTTGCAAAGAAAACCCCTTAGGGTCACCTTAAGTCAGAAATTATTTGATGGCACACAACAATAAACACAGTACAATACATCCCCTGTCCTCACCACCCATCTGCACTGACTTCCCACTCTTTTCTGCCTACAGTAAATTATACATAATATTCCTCCTCTCTAAACATCATTAAGTATCTTCACAATACAGAAAAAAAATATTTTCTATATGTCAAATTCTATAGTTACAATGTCCTCCTTTTCCTTCTTTACATAGTCTGTATGGGGTTGCCAGATTTTAAAATAAATTTTTATAGTTTTCTTTTACTAAATTTTGTTGGCGTGTCTAGTTCTGCCAAATCCATTCATTTCCCCATCCATTCTGCAATACTTGGGGTCTTATTATTTTTCTAGTATTTGGCATGCACCAATCTTGCTGCTGTTGTCATATGACACATTAAGATTCTATACTCTCTCTGCATCTTATTTTCCAAATCTATCGTATTTATGAGAAACGGCCCAGGTCTAAAAGTTATTTCTATTTTCAGAATCTTCTGCATTCTTCACTGGTTCTCACTGTAACAAATAACAAGGTAGCTGGAGGCCTACAGCTAAAGAACAGGCTGATAACTTGAAATCAGTATGTAGAATCTGGTTCACAAAACATTCCTTTCTTTTTTGTTCCTGGATGTCATTGTAGGGTTGTCTCAGGACAAAGGGATCTTGTAAGCACCTCTGAGACTAACTGAAAGAAAGGAACTGGTAGTATGAGCTTTCATAGACTTGGCCCTACTTGACCATTGGAGGAAGTAGGCGCAAGTCTATGGGCTCATTCACACTTAGGGCTAAATCAGTTTTTTAACTGGATCTTTTTGAATCAATGAAGTGGTTCGAAACCAAAGCGATGTTCACACTATGTGTGCCATGATCACATCTGTCCGTGTTTGCGTTAAAGTTCACATTTGAATGGCGATCAGGCTGGCACCCGGGAGGAAGGGGCAATGGGCAGAGGGTGGGCACAGGGCTGGAATATACCCACCACAAAGGTCTTGCCAAACCCCCTTTTCCCCCCTTCTCAGCACTTGTGGCGGTTCCGTGGAGCTCTTTCTGATTTCAATTTTCC